TATGCATTTCCTAGTGAAAGTACTCACCTAGAGAGTACTTAAAAAGCACTCACGCTGGAAAATGCCGCGAGTACTCATGAGTACTCGGGACTTTTGAGTACTCGTCGATCGTACTCACGATGAGTTTGGAGTATATGAGTACTACACATCCTTACTTTCATGGCAGTGTATTCCAGTTGAGTACTACGGTCGTTCACTTCTTATATTTGGTAGTAGGATGATTTGATTTACTTTGTTCTATCGAAACATATTGTAATTCATTTCCGTCATCAAAGAAATACTTTCTCGAGATGAGCAACGTCACTTATTTTACGGTAATCGATGGCAAGAAAGTGATGTCGACAATAGATATTTTCAAAAGATATGGTGGTGAGTATTTAGCAATATAATTCTCAATGATCAGAACAATATCGTTACTCTTAGTTCAGCGAACATAATTCATTATATGTTTCTTAGTATCAAATCACTGCGGCGATGTGATTTGTTTTCAATCTAGGCTTTGAATTAGTGGCTTCGAATAGTAGAAAGTAATATCGACGATGTTCATCATTTGATGTTCTACTTTATCTAAATGTTCTTCTTTCAAACGCTTTCCATCTTGAATATACAAAAGAAATCATGTAAATAAGCTAATACGTCGATATTTGTAATAAAACATGATTCCTAACAGATTTTATTAGTAAACTACTAATTTTTTTCTCAGATTTTATCCAGAAGAATATTTTGCGATACATCATAGGAAACGACTATTCGGTGATACGAATAAAAGTTTCGACTAACTTCCTCTATTTCAGCAGAGACGACTGTGACAGATTTGTATATCCGTAGAGAATGAAATATAATGCATCTTTTTTCTCTAATATGTTCGATTGAATGCAATGTTATTTTAGATATTTTGGGTCTTTGTGCTATTGTTCTTTCAAGTTCTTATGATATTCCAATATATGTACCGAATGCCTTAATGGCTCTGTGCAACCATTCATATGATCCTCATTTGATTCAAGTGAGTCAATTTTTATTTGCTATTTCAAGAATCAATTGAGTTTCTTTTATTCTAGAAATCGATCAAAGAATGTATGTCAGAATTTCGTCGCACACATTATGATTCTTGGCATGAACATCGGACAAAATTTACTGATGAACAACTTGAAATGTTAGCCGACGTTCTCGTTTCACACAGTTATTACACTTCACAACAAGATTTATAGGAACAATCGAATGCAATGATTTTCATTTAGTAAAATTTTCTATCTATTAAACACGAACAAAAAATATTAAATCTCGTTTAATCTGCCTAGTCTTTTTTTTCTCTAAAAATATCTTTGGCAATAAACGAATCGAGCTTCACCTACCTTGTATGTCAGATAGCTGATCACCATATATTCGAACTTTTGGTTTGTAGGGTGTGGGTGTGAGTGTATGTTATGAGTTATTGCACACCCATATCCACATCCACACACTCTCTGACATGTTTATTTGAAAATTACTTAGGGTCATCCAAAAGTAGTGGCAGTAGCACTTCTATCCCGTATAACACACTTAAAGAAACTTTCTCTTTACATATCCTGATAGAGATAAGAATGCTCTATTTTTCTTTGCTATTTGATCATACTTCAACAAATACCAAAAATAATAAAATTTCGATACTATCTGTTTTGTTCGCATGCGTCACGGTTACATGATTTACTAGTGAATGGTTTTTGAATAACTTTTAATGAATACATGATAGAGAAGTGCGGTTTTCACCATTGGAAAGAGGAGATGTAGATGCATCGAATTGCATGTTATAGATTTTTCTAATATTGACTTCTGAAGTATGTTGATTAAGTAGTTCTAACTGCCACAAAAATGTTGTTTTTTTATGAAAAAAAGAAAAAGCACAAAAAGTGAGCTTTTTTCACAAACTTTGCTGGAAAATTGTACTCGAGACTCGACTAAAATTCATATTATGCATCTGAAACTTTCGTATTTTGTAGATCTTCGATTAGTGGTTTGAATTCATATTTGATAATTGAAAATTCACTGTAAGCAATTCACTGGATAGGTTTCTTCTTAAAAAGGTCGGTAGAAAACCTGCCAAAACACAGATCAGGAAACGCTAGAATATATGATTCGATGCATCTTCATCTCCTTTTTCGAATGGTGAAAACCACAGTTTTCTATTTTGTTTTTATAAAAAGTTATTTGAAAAAACTCGCTCATATTTTTTAAAATGAGTATTATCATAACCGTGACACATGCGAACAAAACAGATCTTATCAAAATTTTATTATTCTTGGTATTTGTTGAAGTATGATCAAATAGTAAAGAAAAATAGAGCATTCTTTTCTCTATCAGGATATGTAAAGAGAAAGTTTCTTTAAGCTTGTTATACGGGATAGAAGTGCTACTGCCTCTACTTTTGGATAGCCCTAAGTAATGTGAGCAGTCTACAAACCTCTATTGAACAAATATCAAGTTTACTAAATGATATGAAATGCATAAGCAGAAAACCAACAACCATTCAATCGTTCAGACCAAGCTTTGCGTGAAGACATGACTTTATCTACTGTTTGCTATATTTAACTGCAAATCATTATTCATTTGGTTCTTCATTTTGTTACTGTTTGTGATCTTAGGCTTCTCAAAAGACATGTATCAAAATTTTTTTCTTATTTATTATTTGTTGCACCAATATAGTATCGATTTTCTATCAACTTATTGAGCTTATTTTCCTTTCACTCTGAAAGTCTTTCTAATACTAAGTAACGAGTACAATTTACTTGAAACGCCTACTAATACGATAAGAGTAATATTGTTGTTATCTCTATTGTTAATATCATTTTTACTTTTCCTTGACATTGGAAGGATGCAATATGCCATCGTTTTCGTCTGTTTAGTCCACTTTTTTATCAGCAACTGATGCAAATAATGGCACTGTAGAAAGTGAAGCAATGTTAGCATTTTTTCAAAATTTATACTGTATAACTCGGAACACTATCTTCGAGATTTATTATCATCTTTTTTTTAATAAGCACAATTAATCTGAAATTGTAACAGTTCACAGCTATCACCGGAATGCAATTTCATAATTTGTTACTCATTTCTTTTACACTTTTAATTATTATCATAACACAAATGAATCGTAAAGGTTCAGATCTGACACTCAACAGAATTCACTTATCCAGATCTTGTCCCTAGATGTGACTAATACAAAAGTCAATTGTGTCGAAACTCCACTTCTAATCGAACAATGTAACATATTTAGAGAAGACATTTTCAATTTCAGGTATTTTATCGTCAACAAGCTTCTCAATTTCGACTGCAGTACCCGATGATGTAAATGTGTTCTTGACTTGGAATGAAGTACCCGAAGCGATAGGTTATTTAGTTAACTATGGTACAAGTGTTAGAACTTCGACAAGAACTATGAAGTCAGCAATCGGCTCCTTTAAGGTTACTGGACTTCATAATGGGATTACTTATTTCTTTACAATAGTTACAATTCCAGAAACGGGACCATCACAAAAAACGCCGCAAGTTATGGTAACACTTCTTCAGAGAATTGGTCGTCAACCTCGACAACTCGGCCTTCTGATTAATGACAATGATCTAGACAGTGTTATCCTCGGGAAGTACTACGCAAGATGTCGTACTATTCCTCTAGAGAATATTGTTCATTTGAATATCTCGAAAGTGATCCAGCTAAGTCGAGCTGAATTTCAACCGTTGAAAACTCAAGTTGATTCGATGTTATATGAAACTGTACAGGCAATTGCAATTGCATGGGCAATGCCCTCGCGAATTGAATGTAACTCAATTACGTCAGCATCGGTCTTGGAGTTTTTTGGATCCAATTATACTCAGCCATTCAGTGATTTCAGGAAGCGTCCAGTAATGATGATCGCAACATTGAGTATTGAGCAAGCCAAACAGTTCATTGATCAAAGAATAGCTTCTGATGGAACATAACCACAAAGGTCTGCTTATATAATGAACACGAGTGATGGAATTCGAAGTCTTCAAGTCAGAGTTTTTCCTTCAAGCAACTTAGGAACAAACTTAAGTTCTTATGTTGATGTTCAAATCAAAAATGCTGATTGGATTGCAGGAACTACCGATGTACTTTTCTATTTTCAAGGATTACTAGCTGTCAGCAACATCGATAAGAACACCTATCCACCAGGTACCATAGCAGATCATCTGACTTCCTATGGTGGAATGCTAACCAATTCGTATCAAATGTCCGCACTTTAATTTATCGCTTGTGGCACTACGGGGGCATTTGAAACTGTTAATGAAGCTTGTGACTATGTAGAGAAATTTTCCAATCCGATAATCACGATTTCACACTATACCGAAGGCGAAACCCTTACTGAAGCCTATTGAAAGAGTATATTGCAAACATCTCAAGGTGTATTTGTTGGAGAGCCTTTAGCAAATCCTTGAAAACAGATCGTTTCCTTGTATTGATAAGCAATGTTTGTATTTTATGAACTTAACCGATCAGCTAACCACTGATCTACTACAACAGTTGAAATAAATTCGTCAGCCATATTCTGTTGACTCTCTTTGACTCATAGTTTAAAGCTAGATATGGGTTTCCGTTTTCTTTTTCATGTCTTATCTAAATAATCGGTTCATCATAAAGCCACCGATTTTGTTCTATCTCTTCTAAGGAAGATTACTCTTGCCTTAGAGAGTAGGGTGTGGGTGTGGGTACAGATCTTCAATTCACTTACACACACCCCCACACCGACACCCATCTTTTCAGTATCTTGTCAAGACCTTGCTTACAGATGTTCGATTAGGATAGTGTTTTATTGAATCAAATAGAATATTTCCAATCACTTGTGAAAAGCTTTAAGTAGAAGTTATATATAGAACAGATACTAATTAATGAACGCCATACTTTATAAAATTCTCCTTAATGAAGATATAATGTTATGCAAACTAAAATTTTTTTTTGGAATCATTTTCATATTTTTAGAATAACATATTTAACTGAAATATTAATATTGTCAAAAAGATCCATTCGGTTGGAATGTTTCATGTTGATCATGACATGTACGACGAGTAAATTCATCAGTACAAGCCATACGAAGTCGTTCGACAGTTGCTGGTGAATAAAGTGTAAAATAATCTGATAAACTTTGTTGTTCACGATAGGCCATACATGCTTGTTTTAATGCAAAGAAAACTGAACAACCAAGTAAGAGCGGTGGTTCACCAATACCTTTCGATGAATAAATAGCTCGTGGATTTAATGAATCAGATAGAAGTGAAACACGAAAATCAATTGGAACATCACTAAATGATGGAATTTTATAAGTATCTGGTCCACAAGTAAATAATTTTCCTGGTTGAATCCATTTATTTTTTGTATAATCACCCCATATAAGTTCTTCCATAGTATATAAACCAATACCTTGCATAAAGCCACCTTCAATTTGACCAATATCAATTTGAGGATTGAGTGATTTACCAACATCCTATAATAAAACAGATTTATTGTTATAATCATAGAAGATTCTACATACCATAAGAATATCAACACGTAAAAGATGCCAATCTCCTGTTAATACATCTAATTCAACTTCAGTTACTGCTGCACCTTGTGTAAAATAATTGTAAGCAGCTTGATTTTGAGTAAAATCATAATCAAACACATTTGGTGTTGCATAAAATCCATGAGCACATAAATCAATACGATTAAAATAAGCTTGTTTTACAAGATCGTCCCATGAAATGTTAACATTATTATCAACAATCAGTGTATCTAATCGTTGACGAAGTTGTTCGCACGCATTTTTTATAGCCATTCCATTAAGATCCGACGAAACTGATCCACCTGTTGGACTCATATTATGCACTTTATCTGTTGCTGTTTCACTAATTCGTATCTTATCAATACTACAACCTAATACTTCAGCAGCTATTGATATCATTTTTGTATGTAATCCTTGTCCCAACTCGACACCTGCATGAGTGAGTACTACGGAACCATCTTTGTAGATATGAACAAGAGCTCCTGCCTGATTAAAAAATTTAACTATACCCCCGATACCAAATTTAACTGGTATCATAGATATACCACGTTTTCGATAAATATTCTGACTATTAAATTCAACAACATTTGCTTGTCTTTGAATAAAATCACTTGATTTACTAAGTTCATCTAAAATTCGAGGAACATTCCATAATTCTAAAACTTGTCCATAATGAGTTGTATCGTCTTCTTTAAATAGATTAAGACGACGAATAGTTAATGGATCACGTTTAAGATATGCAGCAATATGTTCAACAATTGTTTCACATGCAAACATTGCTTGTGGTCCACCGAAACCACGAAAAGCTAAAACAAATTATTTATATTTTTTATTTGAAATTTTGTTGTATAATGACAAACCTGTGTTTGATGGTAAATGTGTTTTACAAGCATAACCACGAATTTTAATATTAGGAAATTGATAAGTATTACCTACATGAAGCATAGAAAGTTCCATTACAGATCTTGATGCATCCAATGTACAACCACCATTACTCCACATTTGAAGATCAAGTCCTAAAAATCGACCTTCATTTGTAAATCCTACTTTATATTTTATTTTATATGGATGACGATGTCCAGTTATAGATATATCGATGTGACGTTCAAGATTAAGACGAACAGGACGATTTACTTTAACAGCAGCTACTGCGACAGCAAGACATTGAGGAAAACTACAATAGAATAAATATTTATATCATCAAAATATAATTAACTTACGATCTTGATTCTTTTCCACCAAATGCTCCACCAACTCGTTTTACATGACATGTTATATGACTAACATCTCGACCGAGAACTAATGCAGTTAATTCTTGCATAGAACTTGCACTTTGAGTTCCCAAATACAATGTTATTTCTTTATCATCATTCGATGGAATAACCATACAAGAATTTGTTTCCATATAAAAATGTTCTTGACCACCGATATAAATTGTATCTTCTAATATATGTTCAGCATTGATAAAAGATTTTTCAATATCACCTTTTTGAAGACATATTTCATCACCAAAATAAGATTGATAATTAATAGCATCATCAATTGATAAAATTGTTGGAGATAATAATTCATAATCAATTTTAACAAGATTTGCAGCCATTTCAGCTGCATGTTCTGTTTCACAAACAACAACACCAATTATTGCACCAATACAAAGTGCAATGGACGATACAAATACTTCTTCACCTGTTAATATACCATTTGTCTTATTTGAACCAGGTACATCAATATAATTGACAAATGATACAAAACCAGAAACTTTTGAAGCAGACTCAGTATCTATTATTATATTATTTCAATTAGATCTATAAAAATAAAATTCTTACCAATATGTTTTATTCGAGCATTTGGTTTTGTACTAAGTACAAGTGCAGCATGAAGTGTATTGATTAAAGATGGCATATCATCAACATAACAGCAATGTCAAAGGTCCAAAAAATGTCCACTTTACCTAAAGTCCTCTATGAATATGTGGGACTTTACGTACCTTATGAAATGTCACGTATATCAGTAGTGATAGGAAGAGCAAAATATAAATACTCCACCAGCGGATATTTCTGTATTCCAGCGGACTTTTCTATCCTCTTCAGGACTTTTCTTTTCACATGATTTTATTTATCGAGGTGAATATAAAAATATTCAAATAGATTTAATCAAAGAAATAATTTGTTGTATACATATGATGAACAAAAGAATGTTTCTTTCTTCTAGCGACCTTTTCTATTCTCTTCAGGACTTTTCTTGTCGTATGATTTTTTTTTTATCAAGATGAATATAAGAAATGAATACAATTTTAAATATATAACGTTACAGGAAAGGAAAAAAATATATATCACGTCAGCGGATATTTCGCTCTTCCAGCGGATCTTTCTAATCATTTAAGGACTTTTCCATTCTCTCATTTGATAGAAAACAAAACACACATAAAATCATTACTTACGAAATATTTTCGTGTATCTAATGTGTTGTTTCATATTTCTCTCTTCAACGGACTTCACTATATTTATTATTATTTTTCTTTTCTTATATTTCATCTATTTACAGATTTGTGGTTGAAATACATAGAATGACTACAAATCAGATATTGGAGAATATTTTTGGTTTATTCAACGTACTAGCGGATATTTGTTTTCTTTTGCGGACTTTTCTATCGCTAGTGGTATATTTCTTTTTCTTTATTTTACCAGTTTAAGCAAGTAGTCGTGAAATACATATGATGACTACGATAAGAAGAATTACCTATATCTTTCATTTATCTAATGTCCTTGGAGATACTTGCTGCTTCAGTGAAATTTTCTATGAATAGTAGTATTTTCTTCTCATATCATTTAAACTGTTGGGAATAATAGCAAAAAGATTTCACGAGTATAAATAAGATGTTTTTGAATATTTTTCGTTTATCTAGAGTCCCGACAGATATTTCTTTCTTCAGTAGATTTTTCTATAGTTATTAATTTTTTCTTTTTTTTCTTTTATTTATTTAAATGTATAGCCACGACATACATATAATGATTATAAGATATTTTCGAATATTTTTCGTATATCTGATCTGCTAGTAGATGTTACTTTTTTTTGAAAGAACTTTTGCATAGCTATAATTTTATTTTATTTTTCTTTTATTCTATTTATTCAAATATGCAGTTATGAAATTCATAAAATGACTAATAAAGAAGATGATGGTTTATATTCTTCTTATATTTAATGTGCTAGCGTATATTTGCTTCTCCATAGGTTCTTTCAAAAACTACTAGTACTTTTTTTCTTGTTCTTCATTTTATCTATTGAGAAATAGACACAACAGATTCAATAACTGTAAACAAGATGATTGAGCATAGTTTTCATATATCTAATATACTAGTGAATATTTGTTTCTCCGGCGAACTTTGCTATAGCTGTTTGTTTTTTACTTTTATCTATTCAAACAGTCAGTTATGGAACACATAAAGTGACTACAAATAAAGTGAATGAGGGGATCTTTTGTTCATCAAATATGATACTGATAGTTTTTTTTTATCTGACTTTTGTGTAGGTATCAGTTTCGTTATTTTCTTTATTTTATCTGTTCAAACATGCAACTGTAAAATTCATGGAATGAATATGAATAAGATGATGGCCTATTTTCTTGTTATATCTAATGTGCTTGTGGATATCACTTTATTCAGCGGACTTTCCTATAACTTGTTATATTTTTATCCATATAAACATGAATATATGAAAAAATAGAATAACTACAAATAGAATGTTTGCGAATATTTTGCATTTATCTAATGTGTTAGAGTATATTTGTTTGTTCTAAGAAGTTTTCTTTAGCTTTTAGTTTTTCTGTTTTAGTTTCCTCTTATATGTTGAAACAGGAAACGATGAAATACTTTGAAATACCATCAATAAGACATGGTGGTTTGTGTTGTGTTATCTAATATACTAGCGGATATTCGTTTATTCAACGGACTTTTCTACAGCTGAAATTTAGTTCGTTCTTTTTTATTTTATCTGTTTTAATATTTATCTTTGATATACCTTTAATGACGATAAACAGGATGTTTGTGTTTATATTTTGTATAAGTAATCTGTTAGTGCATATTTGCTTCTTCAGTGGACTTTTGTATAGGTATTAGTCGTTTTTCTTGTTCTATCATTTTATCTATTAAAAATAGACGAAAGCGATTCGATGAATATAAACAAGTTGTTTGTGTATTTTTTTTGTCTATATAATCTGCTGATGTATATTTGTTTCTACAAACATGGCTATAAAGTACATATAATGACTATAAATAAGATGCTTGCCAATATTTTTCTTTTATCTAATGTGCTGGCAGATATTACTTTTCTTTATCAGGCTTTTGTATAGCTGATAGCCTTTTTCTTTTTCATTTGTTTCACCTATTCAAGTATGTAGCTGTCACATTCACGATGACTATATATACGATGATTACGTATATTTTTTTTGTATTCCTTAAGTGCCAATGGATATCTGTTTCTTCAACAGATTTTTCTAAAGTTATAAACTTTTTTTTATTTTACTTGGCTTAAACACGTTGCAATGAAATACGTAAAATGAATATAAATAAGATGATTGCGTATATTTTTCTGTCTGTCGAATGTGGTAATAGATACTTATGTCTTCAACTGACTTTTCTATTGTTATTAGCTTCTCCTGTATTAATAATGAAGGATAAATATATATCAAGTCTTTATGTAAGAAAAAACACTAAATGTGAGTTTAAATCGATTGATTAATTTCGTATCGCATATAATATACCGATTTTATCTGGCATGTGAAACCTCCTCCTTTTCCTCCTTTTTCTCAAAACATGTCCTCCTTCTCCTCCTTCTTACGTCAGAATCCTACTATTCCTCCTTTTTATCACTTAAGTTGTTGAATCAGTATCTTCAACATCTTAAAGAAAAATATTTGGCGATTCCTACAGTTCAGAAGATATTTGAAACGATTGAGTTTATTACTGCGGCAAAAAATGTATTTTAATTTTCAACCAATATCAATCTTTATTTCGAGTTTTTGGCAATTTAGAATAATCATCAGCATGCAATAAACATATACAAATAGAAAAAGAAGTATACATATATCCCCTGTGAAAAAAAAGTAGGCAAAAACCAACTTTTTAGTACTTTTAAAAGTTGTTTTTAAACAGCAAATAGTACTTATAAGTGAACCTTTTTATGTAATTTTCATACTTTTTTTAACTAAAAAAATACTATTAAGTGTTATTGGAAGTGTGAAAAAGTAATAAAATTTACTGAGAAAGGTGAAAAACAGTAATAACATTTAATTTATTTTACTATATTAATACTGAACATACTTTTTAGTGTTTACAAGATTATTAATTACTGTTAATATTAATATAGTAAAATAAATTAAATTTTATTACTGTTTTCCACCTTTTTCAATAAATTTTGTTACTTTTTCATACTTTCAATAGTATTTAATACTACTTTTTGGTCAAAAAATATGAAAATTAAATAAAAAGGTTCACTGATAAGTACTATTTGCTGTTTAAAAACAACTTTTAAAAGTACTAAAAAGTAGTTTTTGCCTACTTTTTTCACATGGGATATATATTATAAGTTTTAATAAGTAGCATCAAAAGATAATATAATTACAATTTGCTAGAAGTAGCAAAACAGAGCAAAAGAAACGACAAACAACATTATACAATAATCATACAAGATTTTTCGCTTTTTCTTTTCCTGCGTTGTTTCTTCTAGCAAATTATAATTACATAACTTTTTTTTGTGTAACATATCAAGAAGTTTTTAATAAGAACTTATGCAAAAAGAAAAAAATACAATAAATATATAACGTGATAGAGTATTTCAAGCTGTACAAAATGATCTATTCATTATATTTTTTCGCTTTCCTCTTTTATTGAAAAAATTCGATCTTCTCAGTATATCTTTATGTAAGATGCGATTTTTTAACAATGTAACCCTCATAACTCAGCAGTCGTAGGAGCTAGAGAGCGAAATTTTTGTGTGCCAGTGAGACACTCAAAGACCAGTAACATGTAAAAAATTCGTCTGAATCAATTCACCAGAACGAAAATTATTGACAAAATACAACTAAAAATTCATCCTTAGCAAAAAGTTGCAATTCAGTCATATGTATATTATTTTTTTACATTTCTATATGATCATCTTCTGACGATTACAGCGAGAGATTGTCAAAAACTCGAGTTAAAGGAAAACTTTTCTTGAAAATTAAAATACATTTTTTATTAGAGTACTATACCCAATCGTTTCAAGAAAACTATAATTAGATAACTATGTTTTCGTTAAATACTTCTTCATGTAATACGATTTAATATTTCATAGTTGAAAAAAATAAATTCAGATGCTATTGCTGTTAAGAGATAACTGAATCAAGGTGCAAAATTATCATTCATTCATTTGTACATTGTGTAAAACTAAGGACTTATGTTGTGGAAATAAAGGGTGGCAATCTATCGAATATCGTATAGACAATAAAAAAGCATCGTGATAACTTAAAATGATGCATAAAATACATTTTCCACGAGAAAACAGAAATCCTCCTATGTTCCTCCTTTTTGATGCCAGATCCTCCTAAAATTTTCAATGACAATC